GTAACAGTCCTTCACGACGGAATTCAGAGCAGGTACTTAAGGCAAGAACTGATAGAGAAGCCATGGCAGAGTGCTGCTGACTGGCTTGCTCTCCATAGTCTGCCCAGCAGTTTTTTATAGCTCCCAAGACCACCATCCTAGGGGAGACACCACCCACCGTGAGCAAGGCTCTCCCATATGGAGCATCTGCCTCACAGGCTTGTCCACAGGCCAATCTAGTGAGGGTGTTTTCTCAACTGAGTTCCCTCATTCAAAATAACTCTGGCTTGTGTCAAGCTGACATAAAACTAGCCAGCACAGGACATGCCTGGGGAGGTCACAAAACACTTTTCACAATGTATCCATTACTGACACATGACCACATGTGAACCACCATGTGACCTATGTCCTCTTTCCCATTTCTACCTTCCTGGAAGTGACCACTGCCGCAATACCAATAAACATCCTTTCTGCTTCAGGTTTCATATTTTTACACTCCTATCTGAGCCCCTGGAGATATCACAGTTGTAAGACTTAAGTAAGTGACAGCATTTTCATACTGTTTTTTGAGATGCATCCATGCGCATATATGTAGATTTAGATCATTCATTTTAACTGCTATACAACAGAACGATATAGAACTGGACAATTTACTTTGTTGTTGTTGCTTCTGCATTTTTACCAGAGAAATGAGCACAGCTGTCTTCTGACCATGACACTCACACTAAGAAGCACTCCGATCCTTTGTAAATAGTATTTCATTTGATCTTCGTAGGAGGTAGGTAGGTATGAGGTAGGCATGGTTAATTCTTATGTTACAGGGAAAGAAACTGAGGCACAGAAAAGGTGACAACATGTTCAAAGTGACAAAACTTAATAAGGAAATCAGAACTTGAGCTAAAGTCTCATAGCACTGTGCTTTTAAACACTGACCTACGTACATGCTTGGCTAGATGGCCTTGGATAACTAACCAGTCTTCGTTTTCCTCATCTATTAATAAGAAGGATCAATCATCTTACTCTGAGGATGGTTGGAAATCAGTAGATAATCTGGATCAGCCATGCAGCAGTGAGAGATGAGCTGCCCACCCCACCACTTCTTTCTCTTGATCTTTCTGAGACCCTCAAAGTGCAGCGCTGTGCCAACAGTACTTGCCCTGGCTGTCTACACAGACCACAGCTCCTCAGTCCACTGCACTCTGCTGCTTTTCTTCTCTGTAGTCTTACATGTGGATTTCAAATTTAAAAGAAAAAAGACCTCTGTTTCTTTCTATGCAAACACTTTGTCTACTTTAAAAATTATGTATAAATGTTTCTCTTTCATCCTTTAAATCAATCCAATCCTTTTCATAAATATCTCACCTAAAGAGCTACAACAAGGATGTTTTTCAGAGAGAAGATGGGTAGTAATTTTTCAGAGAAATGCACTAGAGATACAAAAAGTACAAGAATTATACAATTTACAAAATTCTGGGGTTCCTTACAATCTCACTTCAGATATCAAATCTGTGTGCAAAATATTTAAATGATGGCTACATCCAATCTACTTATGCCAAACAGAGGGAAAATTTGAAATGTACAGCCTGTTTGTTATTGGTTGAATTGTGTGCTCCCTCCAAGAGAGAGAAAGAGAGATTTTGAAATCTTAGCTCTCAGACTTTTATATGGAAACAGGGCTCATGCAGCTGTAAACAGCTGTGATGAGATCATCTTATTTAAAAGGACACCAGAAGAGATGCACACCAGCTACACACTGTTAGACCGTGAAGGCAGTTATCAAGAAGATGCAGTCCAAAACCAAGAGAAGCAGAGTCCCAGCAAACTAGGAAAGAGGATGGGACTAACACTCTCGGGCCTCAGAGAATCAGGTCATCCCACTGACACCTTCGTCTTTGGCTTCCAGCCTAGAAGTCATGAGACGATACATCACCATGACCAAAACCATCAAGTGCGCGGTACTCTGTCACAGGAGCCCCAGAAAACTTATAAACCATCTTTACCACCATTGTGGAGTTCAGATTGTACAAGTAGAACCTCAAATAGCTTCCAAATATTGCTGAGGAAAAAAACAACTCAGGCCGGGCAGTGGTGGCGCACGCCTTTAATCCCAGCACTCGGGAGGCAGAGCCAGGCGGATCTCTGTGAGTTCGAGGCCAGCCTGGTCTCCAAAGTGAGTTCCAGGAAAGGCGCAAAGCTACACAGAGAAACCCTGTCTCGAAAAACAAAAAACAAAAAACAAAAAAAAAAAAAAACTCAGATGTCCTCCGAGGTACGAGGAGTCAGACCTTTCACATACATTTAGAAGCAGACACTGCTTTCTTTATCGGGGAGCAGCCTGGTTGACAGAGCTAGTAACTTCCACCATGATTCCACAGGATTTGACAGGAAGCAAGATGCTGCAACACCGTCTCACGTACAGCGTTTCCATTCCTGGCTAAACAAATATTCCAATGAAAGGGAAAAAGTTTCTCCTGGCAAATTTTATAACATTAAAGCTGGGCGGTAGTGGCGCACATCTTTAATCCCAGCACTGGTGGGTGGGGATGGGGGGACCTCACGGGGCAGCTAACATAGCTATTTGATGATCTCTAGGGCATTCAGACAGCCTATCTGAAATGACCGGTGGGTAGATGGCTGCTGAGGAAAGGTCTCTGGCCTCCACAGATACATGCACACACACACACACACACACACACACACACACACACACACACACACACACACCCCTGTAAATACATACCCTAAAAGAAAAGAAGGGAAGGAAAAAATGGAAGGGGGAGGGGCAAAAGAAGAAAGCAAATGAGTGACCGTCAGGGCTGGTGAGACGGCTCAGCAGGTGACGGCATTTGCTGCCAAGCTGGATGACCTGTGTTCCGTTCCCAGAAGCCTAATGCTTCTAAGGAGAGAACTGACTCCTCAAGCTATCTTCTGACCTCTACATTCAAGCAAGTGGCACACACACAGACACATACCCAAAATAATCAAATGTAAAAATGAATTAGATAAATACAAATTTAAACTTAAAAACCATCAGGTATTAGTGCGGGACAAGTACACACCTTCTTTCAGCCTTTCTAGAAAAGGAGGATCCCAGAGGAAACAGAATTCAAACCCCGAAGAGTAGCAAACATGGTCTGTCTATTGACTTTATCTCAAATTAACTCTTGTGATACATACACACAAAAACAAAACAAAGTTAGAAATAAACATGTTTAATTGACAGGAGAAAGTCTCTAGCAAGACTGTTCTCACCAGGGTGAGACCCATGTCGTGGCAGGTGCTTTCCACCAGCCACAGGCTAATACCCTACCTCCTGTCCACAGAGAAGCAACACAAAGCCACCTCCTCTCCTCTGTAAGACTTTGAGATTCATCTGAACACGACTATAAAGAAGAGACCCACTTGGTGTTTCTCCTTTGTCTCATAAATTCCCCACATCTTGCGGACATTGAACAGCTCAGTGATCTGAAGTGACTGGGTTGTCATCGGTAATGTCTTAGAATGTATCGTGATGTGACTGAAGACAGTGGCTACCTACTCATCCTCAGGTAAAATGGAGTCAATAATACTGAGGTTTAAAAGAGGCAGAGCAGGAGATTGGAGAAAGAGGTGGCTCAGTAGATGAGAGCCCTTGATGCCCTTAGAGAGGACCTGAATTCAGTTTCCAGCACCCATCCATGACAGCCAGCTCACAACTGCTCAAAGGATTGTATGCCCTTTTCTGGCCTCTGTGGGCACCTGTTCTCTCTCTCTCTCTCTCTCTCTCTCTCTCTCTCTCTCTCTCTCTCTCTCTCTCTCTCACACACACACACACACACACACACACACACACACACAAATAAATAAATAAATACAATTAACTTTAAAAATTACAAAGAGAATTGCAAGGCACATAAAGGCCCTCAGCAGACACCTGCTACCAGGTAGAGAGCTGAGCGGTGGGTAGAATTATGGCTTTCCACAGGACAGCAGCACTGAGGCTCCCAGGGATTGGCTCACTTAGCAAACACAGCACAACAGATCTTCACAGCTACAACTCACTGTGTGCTCAGTCATACTGCGTGAGGGGTCAGGTCAACGGCTGAGGCCTGCTCAGTCTCTAGGGTCACTGCAGGGTTCAGAGCTGGCCATTACTACTATGGGCTATGAGACACCAAGCAGGATTTTGAAGCTTTCAGGGTCTGTTCCTTCAAGTCAAGGACCCATGTAGAGAGGGGTTTTGAGTATGGAATACTGGCATATAGTAAGAGCCCGATAACTAAAAGCATCCACTCAGTAAAAATTAACTGAACACCTCTGTGGGCCACACACAGTTCCAAGGAGTTCCCACATTTACCTTCGTATCCGTCATCTGGGGAACCTAAGAACTCTAGCTCCCAGCCAGAACACAGACCAATCGATCGCAACATGTGGGGCTAGACCCAAGCACTGCAGTGAAGGTCCCAGAACATTGTGATGTGCAGACACTGGACAGCGCCGGCGGAGGAACTGGTCTCAAGTACCTTCCCAGAAGGACCTTCACATCGGCTACCACAGCAGTAAAACTGTCCTTCCTCAACTCAGGCCCTCAACACTGCTTTATCAGCAATGCCATGTAGTCCCCTCTACAACAAGGCCAGCTCTGACCACGCACCGCCAGGCTTAGAACTGCCACGTTCTAACTCTCCTTAGCGAGACTCTCTAAGTCTCACCTTGAACGTCCTCCACAGAAGGCACCGGCCGTTTCTCCCCCTTCTCTCAGTACAGCCTCACACCGCTGCTGCCAAACCAACCAGATTATCCCCAACAACGCCCATAGCTTCCGATCCGCAAGCAGGCTTGCTCTTGACTGCTGTGGGGGATGGGGTTGGCTCTCAGTACTATTAGACAGTCCGCTGTCAGTTGTAAAATATAATTCTTGTAAATTTAAGACTGTGATGTTATTAGCCAATGGTCACTTTAGTTTCAAAGAAGCTAATATACTTTCAGTTTCACAATTTTATATTCACAGTTTAAACACACACAACCCAAATTCCTCTCACCTTAATTTAAGCAATGGCTGGGTCACCCACTTCTTTAACTTCCTCCTCCCAAATGAGGTCTTAGTGTGGTCTAAAACCCAGAGCAGACTTCCTTTGGTCTTCATATCAGTCTGAAAGAGTTCAGAAAACAAGTTTTATTAATGAGACAATTATAGATTACAATATGTACAGTATTCTATTTATGTCGCTGTTTATGTGCCCTAGTTAGTCCATCTATCCTAATTGGTTTTCAGCAGAGTGATTGAACAGAGGGCTTTTGCATGCCAGGCAACTGTCGTACCACTGAGCATCCTCAACCCCGATTTTAAATATTGCACATGCCCAGCATAACGTGCTCCTCATAAGAAGTGCTCATTTAATGTGCGAGGAAGGATGAGGCACCCGTTCACACAAGGGAAAGCATGGATATATCCCACATACACAAAGGAGTGTTCAGCCTGGGGTTAACTGCCAATAAACTACCCTGAAGCCTCTGTTGATGAGGCCATAGGAGGCTGCAGAGGTAAAGAGTGGACAGTAGTTCTTAGTCTCTCTGTCCACTAGACCCCACACCCTGACCTGGATGGTGACAGGTGGCTCTGCCTTAGGAACTGGATTTGAGAAGTGACTCATAGGTCTGCTTGCGATGTGACAGGAACAAGGGGAAATGAGGGCCGTGTCCACAGGCTCTGTGGGGAACTCCTCCAGCCACGGATCAAGCTTTCATCCTGCTTCCTGTTTCCTATCAAGGGCTGGTGTGCAGAGCTAGGGAGAGCCACCTACAGCAAGATTCAGGGGTCACAGCACCTCCATTACAGAAGGACAGACAGACAAAAATGTTCCTCGATAAAAAAAAAAAAGAGCTGGACTACACGGGACAGATGAGAAGATGAGGAAACAAGATTGAAGAAAATAAACCAGGGTTTACATGGACGCAGTGATGAGTATTTGGACGGGCTTGAAAACACTTCATGTAGAAGACTCTCCACTACTTCACCGAGTAATCTAGAATTTACCTGGAATTACACTTTGTTTCTTTGCGATTTTGTTAGAACACTGGTTTATATTCCAGTTTTCCCACTAAGAATTTTAAAAGTGAATAATAGCAATAATCCAAATGTTTCCATTATGGTCTTAAATTATTGATAAAGGGCAAGTAAGTAATAATGAGAGCTTATGAGATAGGATCCCATGTATCTTAAAGTCAAGCTGAGCATCACAGTAACTTGTTTCATATGCAAATAATGAAATAAGAGTGCAGGCATTAACAAGAAGTTAAATGTGTGTAGGAAAAACACTTATCAACTGGATGAAGACAAACCCTTCATATTAATTTTCAAAGCAACACTCCTTCTAAGAAATACTTGCTATAGAAACATCAGGATATGATGTCCTTCAATTACTAAAAACAACAGCCTGTAGTCTGCCCACCCACCGTGTGCTACGGTCATAAGTAACACCAGGTGACAGACAGGCTGCACTCTTAAAACAGCCTGCCCCCTCACTCCAATCTTTCCTTCTTTGCTTACTACAAGTCATTTTTAGTCAACTATCTTTTGCATCATCCTGACCTGATTCTGCAGGATTTCCAGATTCCTCAACGTTGTTCCATTAATTCTCATGAATTCCATTCCACTTGACAGCTGTTTAAAATGCCTGAAAAAGACGAAATGTAACAAGCCCACAGGTGAGCACACACATTTTAATTAGGAACTAGAAACAATGCAGGAATACTCGACAAAAATCAGCATTTTCATTGGGAATCAAACCAAAAGGAACAAGACGAGAGGCTGCAGGATCCTGTCTTCACTGACATCACCGCTGTGACACTGAGAACACAGAAAGGCAGGAAAGGGGACAATGTTGCATGTATGGTCCCATCCCCAAGAACAGAAACAAACAGACTTTTATCACTCGTAGAGGTCATGGTGGTTTCTTCACGCAAAACTATGCAATTAACTACACAAGTCAACACACCTATTCCAGCATGAGAATATCTCAGTAAAAACTTTAAAATCTTTTACCCAGCATTCCAAGGTATGCAACAAATGTTTCTTACTCTATAATTAACAATACATAGTAATGTGGCCAATGTTTAGTGAGTGTAAAACAGAAAAGTAGCAAAAGTGATTTCTTTAAACACAGTTAAAGGATTCATACACTCCTTATGTTCCTGCAAGTCCCAGAAAAATTTATTAATTTCAAATTAGCCTTGATAACTGATTTTAAAATACATGTACAATTCTAATTCACACACACACACAAAAGTATTAATCAACACATTACTAATACAGTAACTCAATTTTCCTTATCAGCTAATCCAACAGTGTCAGACAGAACTGGTGATTGCCGGCTTGCTTAGGTTGTTTTTTGTATCAATTTCACTATGTAGCTCAACCTGGACTTAAATTTGTGATCCTCCTGCCTCTGCCATCCAAGTACTGTGATTACAAACATGTGCCACCATGCCTTACTACTGATGGCTTGTTTTCAAGGGGAGAAAAGTAATGTCGAGTCATTAAACTACACAGAAGGAACGTGTTCGTGTACACCACATCCTAATAGCACTTCTGGGGTAAGGAGATTTAAGTGGACTCCAATTTCCCAAGCCACCTATACAAACAAGCCCTCTCCCAGGAATTCAGAGAATGTACAATCAGAGCCCAAGGTTGCAGTGCTCATGAAAGGACCTCTTTGCTTCTAGAAGACTCCTCCACCAAGGCCAAGGGCCCTGGATAAGAAAAATAACTTACCACATACGAGGAGCAATTTACCTATGGGAAGTTTACTCTGCCTTTCAAAGGATGAGAACTCGTTAATGGTCAGAGGGCAACAACCCTAAAACTGACTGACAGCACATGTGTGTGGCCTTTTCGCCCGCCTCAGAGCTGTTAATTTTCTTAAAATACAGTAATTTGGACAGCAACCGCATCGTCCTAATGGACCCCAGCTCCCTGGAGGCAAGAATTCCCAGTTTAAGCCCACTCATCTTCTGCTACCACAGGTAGTGACCCACAGCTGCTCAGTGACTGTCCCCACCTTCCTAAAGAAAACTACTGCTTTAGGTTTGTTTTCCCTGAGTCATAAAGCCCCAGAAATGGCTGTGAAGCCCCCAAGCACAGTTGTAAACTATAAAACATCATTTACAGGGAGAATCAATTAGGCAGTGTTTGACTGCATAGCTAACAGGTGATCATGCAAATTCACAGTCCAAGATCCAAATCAGAAGGGCTGGCAGCCTGATTCTGCGATGGTATCTAACCAGCTATCCATCTGTATAGAAATGGAGCCAGCTGTGATGGTTCCTGCTCCTGACAGGCTAAACTAACTACATCTGAGCACTGATCAGTTACCATGTGGGTACCCTAGTCAGACACAGATCCTAAACAGGCACTTAGTGACTACCCTAGTCATGTGGATTGCTATAATGAAATACCTTAGGCTTGGCAATCTGTAAACAAGAGAAATTTACTGCTCATAGTTCTGGGGCCTGAAAGTTAAAGACCAAGGAGCCAACAAACCCCGAGTCTGCAAGGGTCTGTCTGTTCCTCACAGACAGTGTGGCTAGGGGTGTACGGGCCTCTTTTATAAAAGCACTCAATGGCCTCTTGGCCTCCTGAGAGCGTCACCTGTCAATGGCACCACATCCAGAAGGAAGAGATTGGTAATTCGAAGCTGGGGGCTCATGGAGTTGGCATGAGAGAGACAGACTCTGAAAGAAGCTATAATGCAGCGTCTTCGGTGGCTCTGTCACTCAACACAAAGGACAAGAAAGAAATTTGGACTGGTGGATAAAAAGTCAAATGAAAATGTATAGATGATTCAAAAATATTCCTCAGTTGCCCACACCCTCACATGCTCAATGTAATAATCCCATGAGCCCAAGGTCTATACCCGGAGAGATGATGTTTGAAGCTTAGGAGTCTAGAAGCATCCTCTGGTCCACCAGCTATCCTGATCCTAACAGTGAAATGCTGCTCCTACCATCTGACACACAAGGGAACCACTTAAGTAAAATGTTGTCAAAAAACAAAAAAAATAAAATAAAAGAACTTGAAATTTGGAGAGCTTTCTGAGTGCCTACCTGCCAAGAAGTATCTACAAATGTGGCTGAATTTGGTCTGGACAAGGGATCAGGAAGAGGGCTTGGAGGCTGTATCTGCATATAACTGCTGGATGCTTTCAGTACCAACAATATGAAAAAAGAAACCAGTAGATGAACCACCAAATTGGCTCTGTTAGTTCACAATGCTTTAAACACAGTATTGATGTGGTTATTATACATGTAATTGTGTTTGATTGGTTGGCCATCAGCCTTGTGTCACTGTTTTTCTTTTTGTTCTAATTGAACAAGAAATCTAAATTCCAAACTGGATACAGTAAAGAGGTGTTTCATTAAGCTAACATCTTCACTGACTTAAATAAGATATCAACCAGTAGGCAATCCTCAACCATTGAGAACTTCTCAAATTTGGGGGTAAGAACTCTAGAGTGGAGCTTGGACTATCCCTTCCAAATGCAAAATAATAATTTCCTTCTTGCCTCTGCCTATTTCCATTGGGAATTGTATACATTTTGAAGATTCTATCTGCTAGCATCCTCAGGTACTCAACAATATATAGTATATGATCACTGGTCTAAAATATTCAAGCAATTCTGAATTATTTATACTCATAGAAGATGCCAAAGTTTGTGTGCTTTGATATGAACAATATCTAGCCAGAGCTCATGCTGTGTGAATCTGGAGAGAAATCCTATGAGCCATATGGGAAAAGACTTCATTAATATTTCAGCAACAGAAATATACAGGGTGTTCTCTGTCCTCAAGCTTTAAAAGAGGGGGAAAATAACCTTAACAAAACTTGCTGAGGGAATGTGAGGGGCTTTATTACTCCTACTCTACTTTCTGGGGGCTGGGGGGAGAAACCCATCTTTCTGAAAAGTAGTCAAAACGCATACCTTACGTGAATGGCCAATCAACTACAGAGAGCCGATTCAAATACTACTTTAAAATAGAAACAGAAATCAAAACACTCTACTATGTCACATGTGAAAGAGCAAAGGATCTCTATGGTTTTTAGAGTCATTCGATTCATCATGTATCTATCTAACTTTGACCCTGTTAATAATTTGTGAATTTTAAGATGCACAGGAGACTAAAACCTCAGTTTCATTGGCCTTTCACTTCTACTTGATTCATAACTAAGCAAACAACTAACTGACATTTCCTTGATGCCACCAATAAACCTATTAAAGAGGGAAACAAAGGCAGAGATACCCAGCTCCGCCCCCCACCTTGCCCCCACCAGGTTCGGTGAAAGTCCATAGAATGGGGAAAACTATTGCCAGTTATACATCACATACAGGATTAATAACCAGAATGTACAAAGTACTGAGAAAACAAACAACCCGATCAAAAAGGGGTGGGGTTAGATGTAAACAGGGTTCTCAAAAGAAGGAAAAAATGGCTAAGAAATACCATTTAGCAATCAGGGCAGTGTAAGTGAAAACTACCTTGAGATTTCATCACACCCCAGTTAAGATGGCTAAGATTAAGAAAACCAGTGGGACAAATGCCGGCAAGGATGCAGAACAAGCCCCTCTCCACTGCTGGTGGGGGTGCACACTGCTACAGCACTATGGGAATCAGTGTGGAGAGTCCTCTAAAGCATGGACTTTGACAGTGACTGCAGTGAGTTTATAGATCGCTGGGGAGCTGATCTCCCTGGCATTGCTTTCCAGTCTATGAACCTGGGATGCCTTTCCACTTATTTCGGTGCTCTTTACTCTTTTCAACCATTTTATAGTTTTCAGAATACAGACTTTGACTTCTGTTACATTCATTCTTATTCTACTTGAAGTTCTAACCAAACAGATCTTAATAAGAGCTACCAAAAATGGAAACAAATGCATTTCCAACAATAAGAAAGCCAATTCCTTCAGAATTTAGTAATCATCGAATTCTGTCACAACTACGTCAGGCAGCTTTACATTGCTGTGGCAAAATGCGTAGGAAAGGTTGAGTGTGGCTCACAGTCTCAGAGGCATCAGCACAGTCACATGGCTCCATGACATTTGGATCTCATGGCAGGACTAGGGAGCAAGGACAGAGCCAGAGCCAGGACCCCAATACCCTCTTCAGAGGCACACCCCTGATACTCTCCCTCCACTGAGCCCTATCTCATGAAGGTTACATCACCTCCCAACAATACAGACTTGGGACCAAACTCTTAAAACATGGGCCTTTAGGGATATTCAGCACCCAAACTATAGTAAAAACTCTCTAGTATTACAGTCTCTCTACACTACTATGCTGTCTTGCTCTAGAACAAACCTACTTAAATTCTCAAAACAATTCTGTAACTTCAAAAATTGTGTTACTTAACAAAACCCCATTTCACCTGTGCTTATAAACAACTCCTAAGATGGTTGGTTTAGGTTTGTTTGGTTTTTTTATACCACCTAAAACTCTGTTGTAAAGGCACAGTGACCTTCCAGTGAATGCATATCAAGGTCTTTATGATACACAGCAATTTCTGTGAAAGCCTTTGCTAAACAAAGCAAAGTTCAATTTAATTTTTCCCTGATAGCCTAGTTCTTGAAGAGAGAGTTCACAAGTTCAGCGACGTAAGATTGTAAAGTGACACAACTGAATTTTATGTCCAAGGAGAGGAGTGCCTGCCTGTCCTTGCTTAGGTGACTTTCTTCTTCCCAAGCGTAAAGCCCATAGAATTACACTTTCAGGACAACCTTCCGAGGGCAGCCACCTGCCACCTGTGGAACACCTCGACTGCATTTCACGTTTAAGCAAAACAGTACCAAGCTTGGTCACCATCCTTACATGTTAATCTTGGTTTCCAACGACATTTCAGCAACAGTGAGTCAAGTCCACCTTGAGATAGCAATGTCTTCCCTTCTCCATTAATTCTGTCTTCACTGTCTGCCTACAAAGGGTTGTTGGGGGGTGTACACAATGGAGGGCCTGTCACTTTGAAGCTCTTTACATCTTTTTGTCTTTCGCAGTATAGAATCACTGAAAAGGCAAACTATTAGAGGTACACTTAGTCACTACCCTGATCATTTCACAAAGGCGCCTCCAAGTACATACAGAGAAAATGTCACACTACTAAGCACATATATGCAAAGGGAAAACTCAGCTTCACTCGATTTAATACAAAGATCCACCATATAATTCAAAATGAAGCTTTTCAAAGTTTAGTACACAAAGTTCAGGTTTTATTACTTAGACCTACTGTTACTTCCAACTAAATATGAGAGAGCATATTCATCGACTCCTAAACACACCAGAGCCTGGTTTACAACAGAAGTGTCCTCATTCCGGTGTCTGCTCCATTCACAGGCTCCTGCTGTGCAAATCTGATGGTCGGTGCCTTGTCACCTACTCTCCAAGAGACCAAAGGGTCAGCCACACAAATGATCTACTCCATAAGTCTGTCTTTGAAGCTTAGAATACAGTCCAATGAGCTATAATCCTAGGCTTCAAGCCTTTTAAAAAATATAACCTTGCAGCCACACTAAAACATGGAATGGTTAATCTTAACTGTCAAGCTGACTGGGCTGCTTAGGATATATAAAGGCCCCTTATGAGTGTTCGCAATGGTACTTCCAAAGACTAGATCAGGGAAGTGAGCAGATTAACCCTGGATGTGTTCATAATGTGATGCATTACTAAAAGGTGTAAAGGGAAGGAGATGGGTTGGTTGAGGGTGTAGGTCACTTATTCAGGCCCCCCATGCCATGATGTGAACTGCTCCTCTACACCCTCCCCACCATGACAGACTGACACCTCTAAGGCTGTGAACCAAAGTAATTTTTCTTCCTGTAAGCTGTTCTTTCAGGTATGTTAGGCACAATGATGAAAAGTCATCACTGCACATGTACAGAATAATCTATACACAGATTAAAACAATGAATCAAGGGGGCTGGAGAGATGGCTCAGAGGTTAAGAGCCCTGCTTGTTCTTCCAAAGGTCCTGAGTTCAATTCCCAGCAACCACATGGTGGTTCACAACCATCTGTAATGAGATCTGGTGCCCTCTTCTGGCCTGCAGGGATATGTGCAGACAGGACACTGTATACATAATAAATAAATAAATAAATCTTTTTAAAAAATGAATCAATTACAACCTCACTACACTACTTCCACTGCAAAGCCTTGTTTTTCTTCCTCCTCCATGGGAAAAAAAAATCACTGCTCTGAAATTGTTCATCAACCCCATCCATTTCTCACTACTGTCCTTAAATATGTGCTATTCTGTTCTAGAAGCTTCTAACTTCATATAATAAAACATGTGGTTCTTTTCATCAGTCTGATCTTAGTCTTGATTCACTGTTCCTAAAGATTTTAATGCTGAATCATGCAGGTCATTTTCACGGTTTTATGTTACTCTGCACAAATCTGACACAATGAGTCTACTTTCCTCTTGGTGGACATTGAGGTGATGTAAATAAAACAAAACATTCCAGGGAGATGGTGGTTTATCTTATTAAAACACACACCCAAACCACCACAAAATTCCCAAGGAACCTGCTCTTCTTCCACTCTCCACAGTAATTTCTTTGTTACAAGCTTCGGATAATGCTATTTTACTGAGCTAGCTCCCATCTGCTCCACCACCTCTGCAGAATGGGAAGGAGCTCGCTCACGCAGGATCTGTAATGGTGATTCCTGACCGAGGCACTGACAAGCTGCTGAAGGAGCAGTACATGAAGGAGCTCGCTTACGCAGGATCTGTAACGGTGATTCCCGACAGAGCCACCGACAAGCTGGCGCAGGTGCAGTACATGAAGGCAAGAGAGTTACCAAGGCCTTCTTTTGCACACTGGTTATTAAGATGTTATTTTCCTAGAATGTCGGTTATCAGGTTTGTAATTTCTAAAATGTACAAACTTGATCACTTTTACAAAAATCTCTCTAAAGGAGCTGGCCACTTTAATCTCCAACTTTGTGGTCTTTGAAATAACTGAAACCTAGAATAAGAAAATTTGGAGCTTTTTAAATTTTTTGTCTTTTCTTCTTTTCATGTACATGCATGTGTGGTATGCAGGTGTGTAACAAGTTTTCATGTGTGTGAGCCCATGTGTGTGTGCAGTTGAGTGAGCACATGGATGTAGAAACGCACCTGGCATTCACATCAGTTCTGAGAATATGAACTCCTGGTCCAATTGAACTCTGAGGTGTGTCCCAAGCCTCCAAAAAAGGTGAAAATGTATTCATCCTTTGTAATACTGATTCTTAATCTGGTCAAAGTGCAGTTTTTTTTTTTTGTTTGTTTGTTTGTTTGTTTTGGTTTTTCGAGACAGGGTTTCCCTGTGTAGCTTTGCGCCTTTCCTGGAACTCACTTGGTAGCCCAGGCTGGCCTCGAACTCACAGAGATCCGCCTGGCTCTGCCTCCCAAGTGCTGGGATTAAAGGCGTGCGCCACCACCACCCGGCTCAAAGTGCAGTTTTATAGGGAGAAAAATTTATCACATATCTATAACAAATACAATTTGACAGTATAATTAATAGCTATTTTTTATTATTCCAGCAACAGTACAAGGCAGTTCATCCTTGTACTCGACAGGTAAGCCTCTGAGTATAATCCCTACTGTGGTAGTTTGAATGAAATGGCCCCCACAGGCTCATATATTCAAATGCTCAGTCACCAGGGAGCAGATCTATTAGAAGATTAGAAGGGTTAGGAGGTGTGGCCTTGTTGAAGGAGGTGTGTCACTGAGGGCGGCTTTGAGGTTTCAAGAGCCCACACCAGACTCTAGTGTCTCTCTCAGCCTGCCGCCTGTGGATTAGGATGCAAAGTTCTCACCTCCTTCTCCAGCACCATGCCTGTCTGTGTGCTGCCACGCTCCCTGCCATGATGATAATATTTTATATTTCATAGGACTAACCCTATGAAACTGTAAGCAAGCCCCCAATTAAATGCTTTCTTCTATAAGAGTTACCTTGGCCATGGTATCTTTTCATAGCAATAGGACAGCAACCAAGACACCCACTAAATGTGTCATATAAAATATTTTAACTGTAATTCTCCTCCTGTCTTTTTTTTTTTTTTTTTTAAGATTTCAAGACATTACTCACTCTGGTTTGGACAGCATCTTTTCCAGGTTAAATTCCTTGAGATATCTTATTATGGCAGCCAAGGAGCAGATTACAGGCTTCTCCAAGTTAATGACACCAGAGAAACTCTGAGAGCCTAAAAACAAAATATGTATCCTCAATATTATTACTCCTAATAAAAATACAGTAAGCAAATCTCATCTATAAAAATAATAATTTATATCATGTATACTAGGAAGGCATTTTGGAACCAAATGGTGATTACAAATAAATAACTTGTGACATGGGCAAAAAAAAGACATTTCTTGATAGACTAAATCATTTTTGGAAAATAACATATTTTTTTCGAATCAGAAAAATGTTTAAATATTTTCACTATAAATAATCTGACCTACATGTCAAGGATGTACATTATAAGAAGGTAAATTGACAAATATTTACAACAGTAAAAAAAATTATAATCAACCCAAATCAACATCACAGGGCAATGATTAAATACATCTTGGTAAATCCAGACTAGGATATGCCTCCTCTGAGAGAATAACCAGCAGCAGCTGTCTCACTAACATGAAGGCCGTTCACGGCGCATCGCTACAGCCTTGGGCAGAGACATGTGCAGCCAGCCTCATCCCTCCCCATGAATATTACAACAGCTCCCATGAATATTCCATCCAGTCACCTGCTCCATCCTGCACCCTATCGAGTATTCATAACGCAACCAAAGGAATTCTTTTTAACATGGATATGAGATCATTAGACAACTTCACTCAAAATAGCCCAACATCCCCCAACTCAGCAGTAGTTATCATCAAGTCTGAAACCCCCAGGCCCTACAGGATCTATCTTCCATCTCTTCTAATGGTAAGCTCGTTCCTCACCTTCTGCCCTCAGTCACCCTGTCCAGTGTGCAGACTCCTGCTGTCCCTTACCCCAGCCAGTACTGTGCCGTTAGCTCTTCTGTGCTCTGCTGCCTCTGTGGGAAACACTACTGCTCTGCATGTCTAGACGGCTTTCCCTCCCAACTCCTTATTCTCTGTCCACGTCTCTCACAGGCCATCTTCGCAGCAAGGCTTTCCTTTGCTATCCTGTTAAAAGTTCACCCCTCTTCTCTACCTTACCTTCTGCTTAGTGTTGCTCACCACCTAACATGCTAACTGTGAATGCTACCCAGACACAGTGGGTTCATTCAAAGACAGTTCTTAAGGATGATACCAAACTGTGAATGATGACCCGTTGATAGACAAGTGACAAGGACAGGAATGTCTCCATTTTTCTTTATACACAACTGTGTTGTTTGACGTCTTTTACAGAAATTAAAAAGTATTACAACATGATCTTTGTACATCACTAATGTAATGTTTCATTACTTAACTAAAGCTGTATGAACAAACCTAGGGCAGTGTTTTTCAACCTGTAGGTCATGACCCCTTTGGGGGTCGAATGACCCTTTCACAGGGGTCGCCTAAGGCCATCAGAAAATACAGATATTTACATTACGATTCATAGCAGTAGCAAACTTACAGTTGTGAAGCAGCAATGAAAATAATTTCATGGTTGGAGGTCGCCACAACATGAGGAACTGTATTAAAGGGTCTCAGCAATGGGAAGGTTGAGAACCACTGCCCTAGGGTGTGAAAACTGAAGATCAGCCCTTCTCCTTCAACTGAGAACTCACTTTAAACTTCTAGTTCTATTTCTTGGAAATGGAATGTTAGGAGATCATGCTGTCTCCAGTAAAAAATATCCGAAGTCAGTGCATTATATCTGGCTCAGAAAGTATTGGCCTTCCTTGACTGCAATGACTCTTACAATCCGGCATGTTCCTTCCAGAGCTCACCCAAAGATTCCTGAAGGGCATGGATCTTCTAAACCAGGACAACTCATACCCACAGATAAGCCTCTGTCCCTCACATATAAGTTGTCACCCAGGGAAAGAAAACTTAAGGCCACTGGTGCCATGGACTTCCATAAGGCTGCTGCGAGTGTGGCTCACACTAAGAGGACACGTGCCTGGCAGGGAGGCTGCTTTCCACCACAACCTTTAAGTCAATCTGAGGCTCAGAAAGGATTCTGGTGTCTTATGTGTTCAACTGAACCTAAGATGAACCCTTGATGCTGGTTCATATTGCTTTCAGAAGTGGGAGACGGGCTCAGACATTCATTAAACTTGATTTAAAGGCATATGAAACCAGACAATGATGCCTTGACGGTGAGAGATGACAAGACAGTAAGGCTTACGCAGGGGGCTGGAGACAGGGCGATAGCAAATGCAGTGTGTGGCACAGACGGACAGATTTCCTCCCCGTGGGGTGTAATGGGATAGAGAGCAGACAAGTCTGTCCTGAGAGAACAAGTGCCTTTTCACCTTGTCAACTGACACAGCCTAGACTGACAGGAACAAGAGTGCACACAACACCACACCCTACTATGTGACAGCAAATGGGTATTAACCATGTAATGGTCACACAACACCACACCCTACTATGTGACAGCAGGTGGGAATTAACCATGTAATGGTCACACAACATCACACCCTACTATGTGACAGCAAATGGGAATTAACCATGTAATGGTCACACAACACCACACCCTACTATGTGACAGCAAATGGGAATTAACCATGTAATGGCCACACAACATCACACCCTACTATGTGACAGCAGGTGGGAATTAACCATGTAATGGTTACCACACATACTGAGTCTGCTCACTAATGTGCTGGCACTATAATTCTGCTTGCCACCCTTTCAAAATGCTAGATTTTATGAGAATATTTACCAAACACTCTTCAAAGCAATGACACGAGTCATCTTTAAAGATGGAGAAAGAAGTGTTGGCCAACTACACCTCCATTAAAAAGCATTTGTCTAAACGGGCCAGCAGGTGACAGAACAGTCTCGAGTGAAAAGAGAGATATTACAGTGGTGTCCACATGTTATTAGGTTGTTTTTCTAGTTGTGGCTGTTTTATTTTGCTCTGTTCTGCTGAGACTGGGTTTTGCCCACTAAATCAGGTGAGGCTGGCACTAGAAACCTTCCTCCTCACCTCAGCCTCCTCAGTGCCGGGTGAACAGCCATGTGCCAAGCAGGCCCAGCTGCAGTGGCCTTCTAGATGAGCCCGTGAACAGGAGGTCTGCCCTGAGTGGCTCCCACATATTTCTACTCACTCCCTACTTGTCATTACACTGAAAGACACTCATGCCTTTATCCACATCCGGTATCAGTGCAATTGAGGACATATGGCTAACATGAATAAAATACTCACCCCTGCTGTCAACCACCTCTTTGGCATAAAACTCGGTAACTGCCTGGAAAGCATGGCTGTATTCAAAATAAGTGTTATCCATCCTTTCTACTCGAATTCTGTCATCCCGCGTACTGAAAAGAAAAAATTGAAATTTCAAAGAATTACCCATGATCTTGAATTATATATATTAAGGCATCAGTCTTGAACAACAACAACAACAAAAGGCAGACTCATTCCTCATTGTCTTCAGCACATGGTGAGAATAAGCCTCCAACTTCATCTGCAAAGCATTCTCATTTCATAAAGTATCTCAGCTGCTCCTGGTATTTTATCTATTGGCATTTTACAACACCTAGCACACTAACTACTTCATATTGATTATCAAAAAGAACTCGCTGAAATCAGAGGCAACTGAACTATAAATAGTAATGGATAAAATTTAAAAAGCATTTTAATTTGATCACATGAATTGTTTAGAAATTCTAGCAAACAAAACATTGAGTAGTTCATTCTTTGGGGAGCACCTCTGCCTGGCTGGCTTTGTTCTAAGTCCAGTTTCATCCCAGCCACCAGTCAACTATACAGTCAATTCTCCTCAGGTCACTCTTACGTAGCTAAGTAACCTTTTAAAATATGAATAAAAGCTTTCATAAATAAACAAAATCCCATCATCCATATTGGATAGCTCATTTCCCATTTTTCCTGACTCCCTCCCCTCATCATCCTTTCTGTCTCCCATAACTGGATGGCTGCTATCACCTCACACAGCCCAGATGGACCCTTGCACAGTCTTTACTGTTCATCTGACCAGACACAAATACATACCACAGACTTATATAATCTATTCTTCACCGTATTATAAACAAATGATGTGACTACCCATCTTGTTTTCCTAGGCATTATATCTTTAAAATCTCTTCATATGTCTATGACTTGTCTATAACTCATTCTTTTGAATGGTGGAAAATATATCATAATATGTTGCTGCAATTTTTTAAAATAATTTATTCATTTTTATTTTATGTGCATTGGTATTTTGTCTGTGTGAAGGTGTTAGATTCCCTGGAACTGGAGTTACAGACAGTTTTGAGCTGCCATGTGGGTGCTGGGAATTGAACCTAGGTCCTCTAGAAGAGCAGCCAGTGCTCTTAACCACTAAGCCCATGTTGCTGCAATTTATTCAACCAGTTCCTCATTGTTTGGTATTCACTCAGTGTTAACAGTTCATTATACAGTATGTTCACACTTTTCTTTCAAAATAGTAAAATGTCAGACACAGCGGTAGTCACAGTCCTCTAGCACCTTAGGACACAAACACCATGGTGAATTTAGTGTACTCTCACGCTCTGCAGCGTGTGCACTGGCCCGTGCTTCTAATGTCCTGAGTGCTGTTTTGCTAAATCTGCACAATTTGCTTTGGGACACAATGCTATACTTCTAAGACTTACACAGGCATACTTTATTCACTTGTAAATGCATCCAAGTACTCCATTAATTCTTACATCTTCTACTAAAAGTGATACTTGTTTTCACACACAACTTATTTGAACTTTTTTTGTAGATAGCGTGAGGACAGAAACACAATTTGACTCTCCATATAATTATTAACAATCAGATATAGTCACAGAGCATTCCATCCGTTCTTACCAATCACGACCCTCCCTCCACTACCTATTTCATACCCCTCTAGGGTGACCCTGTTTCAGCTCACTCCACTGATCTTTCTGTTCACCTGTATCTCACACTACAGGTCTCTGTTTCTGTGCTGTATTATCGGGGTAGCCAAGAGACCTACACCTTGCTCTCCGAAAGCTTGCGTACTCTTGCTTGGGCCTCTGATTTTCCTTACAAATTTCCAGTTGATCTTAGCCAGTTTCATGAAAAACTGTACTGAGATTTTGACTGGGTATGTAATAACAGATTTAGGAATAACTGTGTTACCTTCACAGGAATGTTCACTGTTAAAGGTGGTGTTTTCTATTTACATCTCTAATACTCAACAATAACATGCTATAATTATCTCCAGGCTACATAATCTATAATTATATAGATTAATATTCTAATATTAATATCTCTAAAATTCAACAATAACATACTATAATTATCTCCAGGGGATTCTATATTCTGTTGACTCTGCTCACTCCTTGTACATAAGCATTGTGGAGCTCAGCATCAGGCATTCTCATGCACGCTGAAGTTAGACCCACTGATCCAGCCATATAAAGTCAGAGTGGCTGACCTAAGAGAAACAAGGCTGCTCCAGAGCCTGTCTGGTATAGGAATCCATGATCTAAGACGACAGAGGTACTTACACAGCCAGACTAGGGCACCTGCGCCATGACGCACGAGAGGGTCTCTCAGATTTCCGCTTTTGTCCTTTATGCAGCCCTTGTATGTGGCTCTCCACACACAACTTCAGGGAATTCCTGAAACAATCCCCTGCACAAGCTATCAGAAGCCTCTATTTTTCTGTTTTTAATGAAATTTCTTCTGAATAAGGAAATTCTAAGGTCTGGTTTGAAAGTTCCATTACGAAGTCCAATTAAACAACAGCCTGACACTGAATACAGTCTGCTGAGCAGAGGAGATAAGCTCCTAGGACACCCAGGACTGAGAGAAAGACGGCTTGATTATACTTATGGCTCCACCACAAAATAACCACACACACAAGATTTCTTATGTGGACATATGGCATGTACCACTCAGGTTCTTATTCTTCATTTATAATCTAAAACAATAGACAACAATGCAGTAGACATAAATGAAAGGAACAGAGAAGACACCCCCCTTACTGATAGAAACACACAAACCATTTTACAAATTCAAGAAATCATTGTAACAATTTTGTTACTTTTCTTAATCAAAAATGCAACTGGTCAATTTTTGTTTTACAGCCACGTGGGAAGTAGACAGAAACATTAAGGCATCAGAGATCAACAGCAACCACACTCACTGCAAAATGTGTTAAGAGGTGAGGAGCCAAAAGCATGGGGAGTGGAACAGCACTGACCAGAGCACACACAGTCACTGTACAGTGTGGAGAGAGCACGGGGAGTGGAACAGCACTGACCAGAGCACACACAGTCACTGTACAGTGTGGAGAGAGCACGGGGAGTGGTTCAGCACTGACCAGAGCACACACAGTCACTGTACAGTGTGGAGAGAGCACGGGGATGGTTCAGTGCTGACCAGAGCACACACAGTCACTGTACAGTGTGGAGAGAGCACGGGGATGGTTCAGCACTGACCAGGAGCACACACAGTCACTGTACAGTGTGGAGAGAGCACGGGGACGGTACAGCACTGACCAGAGCACACACAGTCACTGTACAGTGTGGAGAGAGCACGGGGATGGTTCAGTGCTGACCAGAGCACACACAGTCACTGTACAGTGTGGAGAGAGCACGGGGATGGTTCAGCACTGACCAGAGCACACACAGTCACTGTACAGTGTGGAGAGAGCACGGGGAGTGGAAGAGCACTGACCAGGAGCACACACAGTCACTGTACAGTGTGGAGAGAGCACGGGGAGTGGAACAGCACTGACCAGAGCACACACAGTCACTGTACAGTGTGGAGAGAGCACGGGGATGGTACAGCAGTGACCAGGAGCACACACAGTCACTGTACAGTGTGGAGAGAGCACGGGGAGTGGTTCAGCCGAATGACCAGAGCACACACAGTCACTGTACAGTGTGAGGGGACTAGAAACTGTGAACTGACAAAAATGTCAAAGGACTTGGGGGAAGGGCGTGTGTGTGTGTGTGTGTGTGTGTGTGTGTGTGTGTGTGTGTGTGTTAAAGTACACATTGACTGAGGTCAACCTCAGGTATCCTTCCTCAGGAATACTGACCACATTATTTTTTTCTGTTCCCTCGTCTTCTTTGTATGTTTGTTTGTTTTTTGGTTGTTTTTTTGTGTGTGTGACAGGGTTTCTCTGTGTATTTTTGGTGCCTGTCCTGGATCTTGCTCTGTAGACCAGGCTGGCCTCGAACTCACAGAGATCTGCCTGGCTCTGCCTCCTGAGTGCTGGGATTAAAGGCATGAGCCACCACCGCCTGGCCTGAACACAATATTTTTGAGACAAGGTCTCTCACTGGTTTGGGACTCAACCCATTAAGCTAAGCTGGCAGGCCAGCAAGCTGGGGCCTACCTGTCTCTGCCTCCCCAGGGCTAGTAGCAAGTAGAAACCACATAGAGCTTTTTAAACATGGGTTCTGGGATCAAACTTGAGTCCTCAATTTGCCAATGGAGCATCTCCCCAGCCACCAAGGCACCCCTTGGAAACAAAACCTCACTCCATAGAGATGCTCCCATTAACAGAATCCAAAGTGAGTAGACAAGAGTCCAAGTAATAAAGAAAGAACGCAGCAGAAACAGTACGCAGCAAGTCAATGTACTAAGTCAGCATGAAACCAGATGGCTACACACTGTAAGAGTGTCTGCATGCAAACTTCTAGCAAAAACAAAATGGACAAAAATTAGTAATCACCGGGGCCAATGGTGGGGACAACATCAAAGAGACTTGAGGCATTGCAGGATTCTCTAACTGGACTAGATATGAGAGCACGGAGCACCACAGTCCATACTCTGTATCTAAGTAAGTGAATTGTGCTATTTATGATACTTTAAGATACAAACAAACACAACTGTGACAGTCAAGTTAGAAAAGCTACTTCCATCTAGAACTCTCTTCTAAGAGCTCAGGACAATGAATTTCGTATAAAAAACAAGTAATAGAAAAGAATCGAGGTCAATGTCTACCCAAGTTACTGCAAGGAAAAAAAGCAGATCAACATATCCACAGATAAGAGCAGAATGTCAGATATATAACAAGTCAAATGTCCACAGAACTTAGAAAACCCAGAACTTACTATCTCAAGGTAAGCTTTAAAACAAAGAAACTGAAGTTTTTGTTTTGAGACTCAGTCTCACTACTGTTGCCCTGGCTCACCTGGTATTTGCTACACAGCCCAGGCTGGCCGACAATGACTTCTTATCCTCCTGCCTCAGCCTCCCTAGTGCTCGGATAACAAGCTGGAGAAAAGCAGGGAAAAGAAAGTCCTTAGACAAGTACTGCCAGAACTAGGAAAATTGGAATGAAAAGAACAATAACTAATCTCTGGAGTGA